GAAAAGGCACAGCTCATGTGTTGGGGGATGCATGGGGTCTCGTACTTTTACGTGTAAGTTGTGGAGTCCAATCTTTGTGACTATATTTGGCTATCATTCCATCACTTTTTGGTGGAATGATGGCTGTTTTGATATACAATGGGAAAGATTACATATTTTTGTTCATTCACGTTTGGCCAACACCACACAAGAACGCACCCGTTTATTCCCACTTCTCATGTCACAATTAGAGAATGGCCCAAAGCGGGTGGTGTTATTGTGGAGTCATCCATGACAGAAGTTGTCGACAATAATGTGTGGCTTGTGCGGGTAGCATTGACAGGGCATGGCGGCACATTGTGCACATATTTACATGCACAATTCATCAACTTTTACCTCCAAAACACGAATGCCAGGATTCCAAAAAAGTGTGAAAATAACCTCGGTGTGAATTGCAGCCCGGTGATTTGAGTGCATTTCCATTATACATAACGTATAGGGTACATTGGAGATATTTTTTTCTTCTTATAAAGAACAGATCACAGCATATGTTTATTATGGCATTTAATTATTAACTTAAAGTATGTTTACAAGGAAAACAGAAACATTTACTAGCGATGCTATAGTTACCAAACATCAACACAGCATCTTGAGATGCATTTGTATTTCGATGTTATATAATTTCATGTTGTATTGTATTGGAACACACTGTTTGCATCAAATAGACTGCAAGTAAAGATGTTAAATGATGGTCGAGGCAATGAAGACATGACAGAAATAATATTACATTTTAGTAAAATATTCCTGAATTGCCATAGTTTCTGCAGCATTATAATACGAACTCACATTCATTACTAAAATGTGTATTGATCGGTAGTGCTGCACACCTGTAATCCAGCACTTTGGAGGTGAGGGTTGATGGATCACACATGCTTATGACACGATCTTCCTCTGGTTATCGGGGTGCCATAACATGGATCACCAGCAGAAGACAGTTCAGCAAAATGTGCACTAATCTTCAACATGTTTAATCTATAAGATATCGTGTCACCCTATCACAGGTGTGGGTTTTTTCTGGGTGCTCCAGTTTCCCCCAGCACATATAACATATATTCATTGACTGAATACATCTTTATATATATAGAGGATCAGAGGGGTTGTGCAATTGTTGCCACTGGCTTAGTGCCTGACTTCTTTCCCGCTTGTCTGTGGTTTCTCGTGTCTGTGAGTAATATATTTTTCTTTGAGAGTGAGCGAATAATGTGCACGTTATTATTGTCATCAAAGCTCGAGGATAAAATATGTAGCCATGGGTGAAGGTGCCACACAACAGTCAGTAATAATTCTCCACAACACTCCTCGAGGTAGTAAACAAGTCCTGCTACCTCAGCTCCACGGTGACCGATATAACCTGTCGCTCATTGGGAAAGGCAACAACCCCTTTTAACAAACTCATGAAGCATTTGTGGAACAATAACCAAGCTATTCAGACACAAGTGCTGATTTACCAAGCCTGTGTCATTTGCACTCTGCTGTATGGTAGCGAGACATGGATCACCTACAGCCACCAAGAGAATATACTCAGCAGCTTCCACCTCTGCTGTCTGCATCACATGTTAGTATTATTTGGCAAGACAAGATCACCAACGCAGATGCCCTTGCCCAGCATACTGGCCCTTCTATATAATAGAGAAGGCTTTTTTGTCTTGGACATGTGCACAGAATGCACAATGGATGCATACCTAGATACATGCTCTACGGTGAGGTAGCACATTCCAAAAGATATACAGGTGCCCTAAAATTCAAGCTTAAAGATGTCTGCAAGTACCTTTGACATCGACATCAACACCGACACGTGATAAGGCTATGGCAAGGGAAAGGTAAGACGGGCATGACAGACTCTCTAGGATTGGCTCATGAAACCGTGCTCTTAAATGACTTCAGAAGGTCCGAAATAATCACGAACTAGCGAAGCAGGGAGCCGGCAATGAGTCATCCGCAGTGGACTACAAGTACGACAACTGCAGCAGACTCCAGGATCGGCCTTTACAGTCATTATAGGATGTGCAAATCAAACGAAGTGACGTCTTTCATATTATTGGAAGAAAAAAGCCCTGTAACTTCCACCGTCTCATGTTGACGGAAGGATGCCATGGAGAACCTTGTGTAAACCCTTACTGCCAGAATAAGCGCATCAGCTGTTGGACATGTTGTAATCTTTTACAATGTTTTGCCTTGCTGTTGCTATGCTTAGGCATGCGCTTATGAATTATTCTTTACTAAAATTGGCATCTTTCGATTGAAAGCTTTCGTGACTGCAGTGATTAATATTCTTGGTTCTTTTGATAAAGTCACTTATAATGTACATTTTTATAATTTTATTATTTCCCTTCTACGTGACTTTACCGAAAGAACCAAGAATAATAAAAATTGGCATCGTTTGTGTTTGACATGCATTGCTCTAGAATATTATTTGGAGCTGTTCACGTATGTAAGGAAGAATTTAATGCAAAATATGGGCAATTGAAAATATATTACGAAAATAACCACGGATATTTTAATCCATAATAGCATGTAAAGTCCTCACAAATGTAAGATATTTCTGATGCAAGCTGCTGTTATATTATGAATTGTGGTTTCACGTGGTAGTGAAACCTCTAATTACACTATGTAATACAATTTTTGTTCCTGGGTAGTAAGTGTTATTTCGTAATTGCTTATGCCTAAAAAATATAGAAAATGGCTATTATTCGCCACAAACTTTGTTTTTGTGACCAGGACAGTGATATTTTGAAATTGATCTATTATAAATGAGAAAATGGGCGAATTTGTGTCTTTTCATCCACATAAAGTCAGAAAAAACAACATATGAATAAAAATAAACATGTATTTATACTAAAGTAATACTAAAATGACTACAAAAGATTTAGACACCAAGGCACACTATCACAGGCGGGACTGGCCACAGAGGACCGAGTTCTGTGTTGGAAGGCTGATTCGTGAAAGTGATTCAGAATATAATCGTAAATCTCGAAAAACTACTCACTTCTATATCTTTTGTAGTCATTTTTGTATTAATTTTGTTTAAATACATGTTAATGTGGATTCATATGTTGTTTTTTCTGACTTTATGTGAACGAAAAGACACAAAATCTCCCGTTTTTTAATTGAAAATAGGTTAATTTCTAAATATCATTGTCCTGGTCACAAAAGCAAAGTTTGTGTGGAATAATAGCCATTTTCTGTACTTTTGAGGGATAAGCAATTAGGAAATAACACTTACTACCCAGGAACAATTTTTTGTGTTACAGTGTTATGGATGAGTCCTGTAGAATTTGGGGGCTAGAAAGGGGCTAAACACCCCCACCCCTCCCTTCCGCATTATCAGTCAAGTACAAAAGCAAATTGTAATGTTACTCATTTTTCAGCGTTTAACATCTGTTTAAAGTCTCCTTAACACTGATTCGAACGTGCTCCTAGTGCGTGTTTTTTTATGTATGCCTCCTTTCTAAACAAGATCACTCTGCAGAGTTGTCCTTAATACGAAGGTTCGTATGACGCCAAGTTAATCTTCTTTCGGCTTCCACTTTCCTCCCAGCAAGGACAAAGATCTTGTAAAAAGATTGGACATGTCGATATTTTTCTTGCTGTGGTTGTCCCACCTGATAACGATTGCTTGTGTTGCAATCGAAACGTCGTGATCTATTATTTTTCTACCTACGTGACTTTACCGAAAGAACCAAAGAGTATACATTCTCAGTAATGAGACTGCATTTTTGGGTGAAGTCTTTAAATGGTCTTTGCTTGCATTATGACTGCTCCCTTGAGCAATGCAACTGCCTAAGCTGCTGTAGAGCCATACGGGTTAGTGCTCATCTTTTATCTTGATTCTAGCACGGAATGTGTCACCTGATGCACATTGGCAAAGGTATTTTCGTCTTTATGGCATCACAGTGGTGATTGCATCCACAGCCGTCATTTACATCCAGGAAAATTAGTTGGTGTCTATGGCTCCCTGTTCATAGTGGGAGCATGCAACCACGAAGGGATGAATGGATTTAGAAAAAAAAGTTAAAGCCCTTAGCTTATTAGTTGTATATGAAGAAGCAGTTTTGGGGGCGGGGGGGGGGATCGTAACCCAGTGATTAGTGCACTCCACTATGAAACTAGCAACCTGAGTTTGATTGCCAACCATGATTAGCATTGGAAGTGAACGATATCTGACTTATGGTCAAAAAAATGTCCATCATCGACATGGCATGAGAAGGCCTTAATTCAGCAGTGACTGATCATGATGATTAAGAAGAAGCACTAATGTCAGAAAATGTCATACATTACACCAAGCAGCAGCGGTACAACCTGAAAAACATCGTAGAGAATATCATGTTGCCTTATAGTGGTGGATAAAATGTAACAGGAAAGGACTTTATTCCCCTCCACACCATTTCCTGGGTTCCAATGGAAGGCCCTATCTGGGAAACCTTCTGTGTAAGCTGTGTTCCACGCCGCGTTGTGCAATTGTGACAAGGTTCTGTCCTCCCTATTGAGCATTCACACATAGCAAACATTCCTACTTTATCTTTACAAAACACCCTAAGGAATTAGCGCACATCTTACAGTCGTGAGAGAGAAGAGATGCTATTTTCAAAATATATTGTTGATAATACATATCATGTGATGAGAGGTTAACTAATAACACCAGTCCTGCTCATGTAGCTTAGTCAACATATTTAGTACAACAAAGACCACCTCTGACTTTTGCCACATTGCAAAAAATGCTGTAAGGATAAGTCAATAAATTGAGTCCTATCATTCATATGCTGCTATTGATGGAACCATACCGCAATATTAATTTCATTTGATTTTAAGGACAGTGAGGTTTAGTCTGTGTAAATAATGTAATGTTTATTTCACATGGTATATACTTTTATGTTCACAAAGCAGTTAATGACGCACGCGTGCCAACACAGAGTAATAGGGAGTGTATCGTGGTCTCATGTGTTTCTATCTCTGGCCTGCAGTGTGACAATGCCAAAGGGATGAAGGCTTTTTTTGATGCCATCAAGAACGAATCCAAGTACCGGATGATTTTTGGTGGCGTTTGCCCCAGTGTGACATCCACAATTGCAGAGGCCTTGCAGGGATGGAACCTGGCACAGGTACGTTCTCTCTCACCTGCCTACACTACTCCTCGCCAACAAGACGTACCGTAGCTCATCCCATATCCCATCCCATAGCCCTCATCTTAACCTTTATCCGTACCGTTTGATGTCTCCACCAAGTTGTTTAAAGTGACCCCTTTTGATCGATTTGTAATCAATGGTGAACTTTGATTCCCACTAGGTGAGGATGGTTAGAGCTGACCGTCCCCCCCCCACACACTCATTTCTCAACCAGTTATTTTTCTTTCAATATTGACTTTGTCCGAAAGGTCACGCATCACCCTTTGTGATTTTATCAAAAGGTCATATTCATCAAAAAGTCTCAGATTGTGACAAGGTGACCTTTAATGTTAACAATGCCAGTGAACGTGTACGGAGGTTCTTTCATTGCACATTCCAGGCACACAGTGAACACGTCGGGGAACAAAGGGCAGCTCCTCAGCCCCTGTGCCTGCACCGCTTGTGTGAAGCCTATCTGAAGTTTAAGCATCATTTTTACCGCATCTTCAGCAATGGCATGTCATACGGTTGTGTTTTTAAATATTGATGATTTTGTTTAAGCAAATGTTTAGCGGTTTATAACATAATATAGCATACGTATGAGATCAGGATAGTTGAGTGTCACTGTGGAATTTGGGATCCATAGTAGTTTAGTCAATTCAGAGTTCACAGTTTTAGAATGGGGTGGATTGGTGACACGGTGAGTCGTGAAACTGATGCCCTGAAATTGATTCCCAGCCATGGCTATACCAGTTCTGGGAGCCCCTTCACCAACCTGCACTGACCAGTGCGATGAAGTATGATCAAACAACCCCGTTACTCGGGTGGCATAGGGACACCTTCATTCAGCAGTAGATTGACAAAGAACTGTAATTACATTTTTTTAAAATAATGTTGAATCAAATTTTATCCTTTCAAGTGTTGTATATTTTAGTTAAAGTATGTTGTTCTACTTTATTTCAATGTCTCTATTATTCTTTAATTGCCTTGGAAGTCCAAAATAGCCACACGGACTCTTTGTTTGATGAAAAATGAAGGATATTATATTGGCCACGCGACTATGAATGTATGAATAATGCATACTTAAATTATAATAATATAAAACAGGATAATAATCGCTAAAGGGTAATAAACTGTTCACACCACAGCGAGCATCTATTACTGCACATGGGGCGTATTGTTATTTAAAATGAATGGCATAATTGCAGGCTTGTAGTGGAGAGCAACCTAAAAACTGGATTAACTGTATTCTGAATGAGCAAACATGTTGACTTGGAGACCTACAGGTCAATGGCTTTGCATTTCATGCGGTATACTGCTTTTTATTTACCGCTGAATCCATTGTTCTCGTAAAGATAAAGACCCTCATATTTCAGGTCACATTCTTGCATTCCGAACATTTTTTGATGGCCACTTCCCCTTTTGACTTAATATGCATTGCATTAAAAAAAATGTAAATAGAAGTGTAATCGTTGTGTAGTGAGTTCGACGAGTCGCAGACGTAGACTTGGAGGCAACACATTTATTTAACTCCAACACACGGGGTAACTACCCCTTAACAGAATAACAACCTATGGTGGTGACCACCAGGCTAACTACAATAATTAAATAGTAACTGCTACAACGGACTGGACCACTGCTCGGTTCCAGGTCCACGTGTTGGAGACTCGTTGAACGGAGAACGTAGAACGTTGACGAAGGTTTCTCCAGGATGAACAACAGCGCCGGTCCCTCTGGGGACCCGGCTTATATTGTCTGCGGCGTGGCTGGCTATGACTTTGGCCACGACCACCTTCCAGAATCCTCAGGAATTCTCTCGATGCTCACCATGTGACCACCCCTAGCCCCCACTTGGGGCCCCTTTGTAGACTTAACTGGTCACGTGTCTTCTCGGGTCAACCAGAGTGCCATGGCCTTTAGTAACCTTATTCCTACGGCCCGCACTCCCACACCGTGTTCTGTAGGGTTGGCACTGCACGCCAAGCGTGGTGCCATCTAGCGCTATCAATCAGCGCTCACCGGGCCCCTCTATGGCCGGTACTACACCCACACCATTGTGGTATCCGCGATGTCGTTCCACCGCACGCCATGCCTCTCTCGGGCCGGCACTGCACAGTGACATCCCGCGATGTCACTACAGTTGTATATAACAGCCAAACGTGTGTTAAAAATCTGCTTTACCTTTATCTGTTGAGTGTATTGAAATGCTTGAGGGAGTGTGGATGATCCTTTCAGGGAAACACCACTCGGTGGTTGTGCAAGTGGCCGCAGTATCGATTGCAGCCCCTTCTGAGCCTGTTTTACTCATTAAGACACAGGCTACTTCTGTTGCTGTGGGGTTAGCCGCGTGTTCCGCAGAGGTTTCTACCCGATTGGTAGAATGACCCGAATGTACACAGTATCAATCTCAACGTTCCCAACCGCACGTTTGAACGTCTCGCAATAAATTAGGGATCGTTAAACCGTGATTCCTTCATACTCTAGTATGTTTGTCCGTGCAATTCTAATGTTTTCATTTTAATTAGCAAATTTATTTGTTTATGCATGTTCCACACGAGCCGCATAGCTAAGACAGGAAATTATAAAGCTGAGTTTTAGGTTACCTCCATTAATATAAGCCTTTCTAATCTATGCACTTTTATTTTTAACCCTGGTGAAAGCTGACCCCATTTTGCACTAAATTCAAAATCCCCGGCTTAAATTGTACGTTTAGCGGCATCAAGGATGCAATCGATGAACCGGGTGTCTAGTTCTGGAATAGCAGCGCTGTAAAGTTGGGCTCAAGAGTCTTTGTAAGGGGGCTGACCTCCTATTACAGCAACTTGACTCCAACGTCGACATACAAGTCCCGTTCAACAATCATCTGTAAATCCTCGGTAAAAGCGGTGGCGTTTCATAATCACTGCCACTGTGCACAGTTGAGGGAGATGGTTGTACTGCCGAGTACTTCACTTTGCATATTGGAGAGCGGTAACGTATTTCGAATGATTAAAACTAAAATAAATGACAGTCGTTCATAATCCTTCAATGAATGAAGGCCTCCTCAAGCCATCGCCATCCCCCGTGGTCCTGTGATGTAGCAATACATCTAGCGCTTGCACACAAGCTGATTCTGTTCCTCCATCTCTCTGGTGAATGGCCGCTTGGCTGCCATCCCCGTCGTTATTCTTAATGAATATTGTAATCATCTTTAATAATTAATTAACAATGATGTTATTATTACTTACATTATCATGTGAACAACTATATGCACATGAATGAAGGCACACTTTACAAAGACCTCTCAGGTATATTCATTAAGTAAAATAATAACTGGGGGCGAGGTGCTTATTGTACATCACGATATCTATTCATTGACCACGATATCTCATCAGATTGCAACAGGGTTGCACAGCAGTCACTAGACGTTATTTCTGGGCGTCTAAACTGGAACATAATTATGGTGAGCTGGCAGCTCCTCTCTCTCTATGAGTCCTGCTCACGTTTACAAAGACTACGTCTGCTCTATCACTAGCCCTGCACACAAAGTGAGTAGCCACTCTTCTGACATTGGCCCAGCCTACTGCTCATAGACCCTGTCCTCTGCAGCTTACGCTTACTGCTCAGGCAGCCACTGCCGTATGCCCATATCATGAACCGAGTGTGTGGCGAAAAATGGCGAAAAATGTTGTCATGGGACAAGATTAAATTTTTCATAGAAGCTTCAGGACACCGGGACAGACGGTCTGGCCAAACCAAGATGTCTTGTAGCCTTAGCAACACTTCCTCTGACTGCTGGAGGAACATGTGTGTAATACAAACTCACCTTTAGATATGCCATTGACATTCTGACAGGATGTTTGGTGCAAACAAATGACTTTCCCTTTCCAAGCCACTATTATTTTGTGTGACCCGTTGGATGAGAATGAATTACGCGAGCCAGTTGGCTGACAGTAAGTTGCAGGTCCAAGCAATTTTCTTGCAATAATCACCGCTTTTAATTTGTCTGGCGGACCAACGCATCGGCAGCAGGGCCTGACCTCCTGCTCCCACACCCACTCCTGTGCACAGCCACAGATTAAACGCGGAAGGTTAGAAAAGCAATCGTATGAAGACTGCGGTGGTGTAGAAGTCATATCTGTTGCTTATATCGTCTCCTGTCGTGGTGACTAAGCGTTTACTTTCCTGCGAAGGGTGAGAGATGTTTATGGATTCAAGCTATAATTTAGCTTGAATACATTTTTGCGCTTTCACTGTGAGTATATTTCCCGAGAATGTTAAATTTGATGGAAAGTTGATGATGGGTTAAAGAAAATCAACGCTAGCTGTGCATAATTTCGTGCATGTGGTTTCACTCAGAACCATGCAGCGAGAAGCATATACTTGTGCGTACATGTGCACAAACTGTCTGAATTATGTAAATGTGTATAAAAAAAAACTTGAAAGCGAGAAAACATGTTTGCGTGTAAGATTAAGTTATTTATAATTTATGACATTTATGCTAATTATTTGCTCATATTACATTTTGGGCAATGGAAGGGACAAAACTGTAACAAATGAGAAAAAATTATAGAAAGAGAAAAAAAAAAGATTATTTAATTGATGTGGTCAAAGTGACGATGAAACATTGCGGTAAACCAACGTTGGGCTAATAAAAAAAAGCATTATTTCATCTATATATATAAAATCGCAAATCTGTCTGTCTGTCGGTCTGTCTGTGTGTGTGTCTGTGTGGCCGGACCATACGCAGTTTCATTGGACGGCGGTTGCCCCTGGCAACGGGTAGCGACGCATTCGCTGCGGGGTGGACGCCATTTTTAATTCCCGTTAAAAATATGCGCACGCATTAACACGCGACTCTGAGGTAAATTCATCAAAGTTTCACGTCCTCTTCACTCCCCCACCACCACAATGTGTGCAATTACTATTATAGGGTCGGTAGATAATAAAATTATAGCGATTAGACAGTATTATTATAGCGCGGGGGGGGGGGGTACCGGACCCAGTACCCAGCCTCA